ATTTCTTGGCTCAAAAAGATGCAGGGTTGCGGATGTCGGCGCAACCAAGTCCTTTATGGTGCCCATGTTGCGGGGGGTGTGAGGGTGGGGGCTGCTGGGGCCTTCAATTCCCTTCCTAGCTCAGGTTCCGGGGAGCCCCTTCCTCAGGTGGCTCCACAGCTGGGCGCTTAGGGGAGCAGGCGGGACCGGCGGGGAGACAACAAATGCTGGGAAACGCCAGCCACCGCGCAGCCTGCTTTGGGGACAGGGGTGGGGGCAGGGGTGGGGGCAGGGGCAGGGACAGGGACAGGGACAGGGGTGGGGACGGGGGCAGGGGCAGGGGCAGGGGCGGGGATGGGGGCAGGGGCAGGGGCAGGGGAGATTCGAGCTGCCTCCGTGGGGGCCACGAAGGGCCACACAGGGCTCCGCGGAGCCCGGGCACAGGGGGGCCTCCAGGCCGCGAGTTGCCCCTCGTGTCCCCTCTGTCCCGGCTCCCGCAGAGGACGCCTCCCCGCTGCTCCGGGCGTGACTGGTCACGAGTGATTTTGCCAGAAAGTGAGTGAGGGAAGGGCTGGAGAGAAGACGGGAACCACGGAGCCCTGGCCGTGGGGGGGTGGCCGTGGGGGGGGGGCTTCACCCAGAGCCGCGGTGGACCCCTGTCTCCTGGCTGCCCCTCTCGGGGTGGGGGCCTGGGGCGCCCTGAGGGAGGGCTGCCTCACCCTCCGCTTCCAGGACCCGAGCTGGCGCACGACAACCACACAGCCCTCCCGCCCGGGTCCGGGTCCGGGTGCAGGTTCGGGAAGCGGCAGGGCTGTGGCCGCTGCCTAGACCCGTGTGTGCGGGGCCCCGGCTCTCAGCCAGCTCAGCAGGGACGCCTGGCCCGCTTTCTGCTCCTAACCCGCTTGCCAACGATGGCCAGGCCTGTGGCAGCCTTGTTTGTCCGGAGTGTGGGGTCCTGGGGGAGGAGACGGGCGGGGTCCCCCAGTTTAGGGGCCTGGGGGGGGGGCCCACATCTGGCAGGAACACCAGGGGCCTCAAGGAAGAGGAGGGGCTTAAACGGAGTCTTGGGCAGACCCGGGCCGGAGAGAGCACTCCATGTGGCTGTTCTGAGCGCGAGAAGGGAGAGCCCGGCACCAGGGGGCTGCCAGGCCACTGAGCGGAGCGCAGGAGAGGGGGAGGGGCGGTCCGGCTGGGCACCGCGGCCTGACCCTGCACTGGCCCGGCCTGACCCTGCAGTGGCCACAGGCTGACCCTGCAGTGGCCCAGCCTGACCCTGCAGTGGCCACAGCCTGACCCTGCAGTGGCCCAGCCTGACCCTGCAGTGGCCACAGCCTGACCCTGCAGTGGCCTGGCCTGACCCTGCAGTGGCCACAGCCTGACCCTGCAGTGGCCTGGCCTGACCCTGCAGTGGCCTGGCCTGACCCTGCAGTGGCCACAGCCTGACCCTGCAGTGGCCTGGCCTGACCCTGCAGTGGCCTGGCCTGATCCTGCAGTGGCCCAGCCTGACCATGCAGTGGCCACAGGCTGACCAGCCACTTGGAACAGAGGTGTCCTGACAATCCCTCTGGCTTCAGGGAGGACAAGCAGAGGGCCCGGGCCCTGGGGCTCACGGGCGGGGCTGCACCTCCGCTGTCATTTCTCAGGAGACCGTGGAGCCCACGTTTCCCCCCCTCCCCCGACAGGTCTCTCTCCGGGTCTTGGATCTCGGCACAGAAATGTGCAAGGCAGCCACTCAGGAAGCCCTGGCCTTTCCCGCCCTCTTCCTTCGCAGCGGCTCCCCTGGCCTGTCCCGATAGTGGCCAGGCCACGCCGCAGGGCACGCCGTCCCACGGGCAGGGCAGCCTCTCGGCCGGCAGCACTGGGCCCAGTCACTGTTGTGCGGGGTGTGCCTGGGGAGTTTAGGAACAACACACCCAAAGGCCTGAGCTGCGGCCCCGCCCGCGGGCAGCCAGGCACAGGGTGTGGACTTCGGCCGCTGAGCCCTGAGGAGGCTGAGGCCACCCCAGCTGACGCCGAGTGGGAGGAAGGGCTGGCCCCTGGCCGGACCCAGGCTGGCAGTGGGTGACACAGGTTAGGGCTACTTGGTCCTGAATGAACCTGAGCAGGTGAAAGTCCCTCAGCCGAGCCCACAGGAGGGTCTGACACGGAGCCTTTTCTCCCTGGAAAGCTGCTGTTTACTTTATTTTAAATGCATTGATGTGAGAGAAAGAGGGAGAGAGAATTGTTGTTCCACTTAGTTATGCTCATTGGCTGAGACTTGTATGTGCGCCGACGGGGAATCAAACCTGCAACCTGGGCGCACTGGACGCTGCTCCCACCACCTGCGCACGCGGCCAGGGCGAACGCTGCTGTTTAACCGCCTGGCCTGTGCGCACAGTCACCTGGGCCCAAGGTTTCCTGGCGGGGGGGGGGGTCCTCTCTTCTTGGATCCCTCGGAAAAGCGCTCCGGTGGGAGGGGGTCCCAGTCCCAACCAGACATCACTTGGCCCGCAGCGGGTGCCAGCGCAAGGACTGTGTGGTGCTGTCTTCAAAGTCCCACGTGGCCAGAGGGACGATCACTTCTCCAAGGAACACCCTCCGGGTGAGCATGCCCACGTGCCACACGGACACCTGCAGCCGCCGGGTCACCAGCTGGGCGAGCTCCACCTGGTACTGTGGACGGAACAGAGAGGTCAGCCTGCCCTCCAGGGCTGCACGCCCAGGGCCCAGGGCCTCCCTTCAGTGCGGAGTGGATGTCCAGGAGGCGGGGAGAGGGCTCCCCCCACCCCCCCCCCGCACCACCCCGCCGCTTAGGACACTCTGCCTGTGCGCGGACTGGGAATCAAACCTGCAACCTGGGTGCACTGGGACGCTGCTGCCACCACCTGCGCACGCGGCCAGGGCGAACGCTGCCATTTAACTGCCTGGCCCGTGCGCACAGTCACCTGGGCCCAAGGTTTCCTGGACGTGCCCACGTGCCACACGGACACCTGCAGCCGCCTCAACTTCTAGAGCAGTGATGGCGAACCTATGACACGCGTGTCAGAGGTGACATGGGAACTCATTTTTTTGGTTGATTTTTCTTTGTTAAATGGCACTTAAATATATAAAATAAATATCAAAAATATAAGTCTTTTGTTTTACTATGGTTGCAAATATCAAAAAATTTCTATATGTGACCCGGCACCAGAGTTAAGTTAGGGGTTTTCAAAATGCTGAGACGCCGAGCTCAAAGGGTCGCCATCACTGCCCTAGAGGCTCAGTTGTCATGGGCACGTTCCTTCAAACTGGAGGAAGCGGGTCCTACACCCCCGATCTAGCACCTGGCCCAGGATGGGTGACCCCCGCCCCCCGTGTGCTAAACGAATGGTAATTGGAAATACTGATTTCTGCAGAACTCTTCATGATCTCTCAGCTTCTCCACGCATTTCTGTAAAGACTGTGTCAGGATGCTCTGAATTAGACTAGATTAGGGACACTGATTCTTTTCAATGTCCCCGGGAAGCTTTCCGGCACCACCAGAGCATTCACAATATGCTGGGTAAAACCAACGCATAAAACATTAGGTGATTCTCTGAGATTCTGCGTGCATTTTAAACAAGTTAAACTTTAAAAATCAAATTATACAATTAAATATGTATCTAAAATGTAGTCCATCCTCAATTTGATCTCATTTCATAAAATGTAAAACACGCGTCTACCTCTCTCTAGCAAAAAACACCTGAGTGAAACGGAGAAGCAGTTTTAGACGTCGACTGGGAATGTGTGAGGAGACAGATCTTTGCCGACTCCTGCAGCAGGTCTGCGAGCAGAGCCATCTGAAGACCAGTCTCCTGGGACTGGTTAGGAGCGGTCCGGCAGCAGCATCTCAGGCCCCGCCCACACCTGCTGAGTCACAGCCTGCTTTTCTCTGCAGTCCCTTGGGGACCCCTGTGCACATCAGTTTTGAGAAGGACGGCTAGCCCACTGTGGGTTCAATAAGCCTCAGTTTCCCCACTGGTAGGTGGGAGTCTAACCCTTAGCTCAGGGGGTACAGAAAGCACATGGCCACAGCAGGGGCACAGAAAGCAGCAGCATGAATATTTAACAGACGGGACTTCGTGCCAGCTGCCGGATGGCCCCCGCTGGGGGTTGACAAATGCCCCTTCTCAGCAGGAAGCCAAGCCAAGCCCTTCCCTTCCCAGTCCTGGCACCCGGGGTCCCGGGGTCCCGGGGCTTCTCGGCCTCCATGGATACTTTCCGTGAGTCTGGCCTGTCCTTCCGGTGCGGGGCCTCCCACACTTAACCTGCGTGCCTCACACATCACCCCCTCTCCCTCCTCACCCCCGCTGTGAGGAGTCTCCCCCATCCCTATCCTAAACACAAATCATGTTTAGCACCGAGGAAGGTGAAAACCCAAACAACTCCTCTATAAGTGTTGTTTCTTAAAAGAAGAAGAATCCTGGGTTTCCAGATATTGCAATAACGGGCACTTTTGCAGCCGGTGAGCCAGTCGCTGAGGGTACAGGCGCCGGCCTGCGAACGCTCCGAGAGTTACAGAAACTCGCCAGGACGACCTGGTTAAAAGCTCAGGGGCAGCCAGGTTCTTTCCCGACCCATTTTCTCGGAAATCATTCACGGACAGTCCCGAGGACTCTGCCCTTCTCCCGCCCAGGCTGAAGGGTGACCCAGCCGTGCCCCGACTGCCAGCCCCGCGGCATCCGCAGAGTCTGCACTCCTGTTCGACCGACTCAGGGTGTGGAGGAGCCGTCGTGGACTCTGGCCCTGCGCCCGCCCAGGGCGGGGAGACCCCGCAGAGGAGCGTCCCTCCCCCCGGAGTACCTTCAAGGTCTCCTGGAAGGTCGGGTCCACCGTGTTCCTCTGGACGCCCGTCTTGCGTTTGCCCTGGGCCGACCTGTCAGGCAGCAGGTAGGTCTTCACGTACCTGGAGGAGACAGGGCGGGTGAGGCTGGGGGCGGGGCGAGGCGGGAGCGCGGAGTCTTTGCCCTGCCTGCTGCTGAGTTGGGCGTTGATAGGAAGGGTCAGGGGCCACCACGGACAGTGAGCAATGCCATGCTGGGGACACCGCTTCTGTTTACACCGTCTGCGGCCATCGCCCCTGGAATGGGTCTGGGTGGGTGCCACCTGCAGGCTCTGGGGGAGGGGGGGATCCAGGGGGGCAAACTCCTGGATCTCTGGATGCAGAGGCCACAAGCCAATTGTCCTCCCCACCTGTCGCTCCATCCAACCCCCCGCCCCACAGAAAAGTGGAAACGGGAAGTGTGTGCCTTACACTTGGCTCTTCCCTTGCGGGGCCTCCAGCCTGTCCTCCTAACTTGCGGACCAGCCCTCTGGGACTCGGGGCTGCAGCGTAGCTGGTGGGCAGCGTGACAGGCCACCTCCACCAGCCCTCTGCCCCCCCTGAAACCCTGTTCTAGGCCGGTCCCTCTACCCAGGTCCGGAACTTTCCTCCCTGGCTCCTCTGGCAGCTTTGTCCATGGCAATGACCCTCCTTGACCAGGCACCTATTCCCACAGGCTAGGAACAGGCTCAACTTCCCCAAAGCAAAGAGCAGTCACCCTCCCTTCATCTGGGTCCCCCCGGAGCTCCAGGCTCCACCTCTTCTTCCCTGTCAATCAGAGTTCTTGGGAAAGAACTCCAGGTACCGATCCTCACTGTTCACTTTTAACTTGATGATCAGCATCAGATCCCACACACATGGAAGAGGGTGTACGAGACGCACCTGCACAGCTTAAAGGACGGAAACAAAATCACACCATGCATCTGACTGGCTTATGATGTTCAGTCCTGTTTCCTCCCTTTTCTTCTGGCAGGTTGTTCTGTTCTGAGAGCAGATGATGGACATCTCCAAGGATTACTGCGGAACCGTCCACTCCTCCCTTCAACTCTGTCAGTTTTTTGCTTCATATGTCTTGATGGGCTGTTATTTGGTGCATAAACATTTATATTTTTTATATCTTCTTGCTGTATTAGTATACTAGAGGCCCGGTGCACAAATTCGTGCACCAGTGGGGTCCCTCGGCATGGACTGCGGGATCGGGCCGAAACCGGCTTTCTGACATCCCCCAAGGGTCCCAGATTGCGAGAGCGTGCAGGCCAGGCCAAGGGACCCCACTGGTGCATGAGGACCGGGGAGGGATGCAGGAGGTTGGCCAGCTGGGGAGGGACCATGGGAGGGCTCCAGGGCATGTCCAGCCCCTCTCGCTCAGTCACAATTGGCCGGACACCAGCAGCAAGTAACCTACCAGTCGGAGCATCTGCCCCTTGGTGGTCAGTGCACATCATAGTGAGTGGTTGAGTGGCCTTAGCGTATCATTAGCATATTACGCTTTGATTGGTTGAACAGACAACCGGACGACCGGACCCTTAGCATATTAGGTTTTTATTATATAGGATAATGTCCTCTATCCTTTGTAACCTTGTTGATTTAACTTTGTTTGATACTAGTATAGCCACCCCTGTTCTCTTTGGTTACTATCTGCATGGAATATCTTCTATTTGTTGGATCTACAGTGAGTCTCTTATAGATGACATATGATTGGATTCTATGTTTTTACCCATTCTGCCAATTTCTGTCTTTTGATTGGAGAGTCTGATTCATGTACATGTAAAGTAATTACTAACAAGGAGGTACTTATTACATACTAAAGGCCCAGTGCATGGATTTGTGCACCAGTGGGGTCCCTCGGCCTGGCCGTTGGGGATCAGGCCAAAACCAGCTCTCCAAAATCCCCCAACAGGTCCCAGATTGCGAGAGGGCGGTTCTTGGGTGACACACCCCAGAATCGGGCTCCCTCCTCTCTGGTTCTGGGTGCATCATCTGAGAACAGCAGCTGCCAAGTCATCACAGCTCAGCAGCTCCTGCATTGAGTGTCTGCCCCCTGGTGGTCAGTGTGTGTCATAGCTACTGGTCACAGCATCTTCGCCCTTGTGGTCATTGCGCGTCAGAGCTACCAATGGGACGGTCGAACAGTTGGATGGTTGCTTAGGCTTTTATATATATAGATTAGCACTTTGAATACATTGGCCTGCTGGCCTGTCAAGTTTCTGATGAGAAATCTGATGAAGATCTTGAGGTTGCTTCTCTCTTGCTGCTTTCAAGATTCTCTTTGTCGTTCAAGAGTTTGTTAGTACTATGTCTCAGGGTGAGTCACTTTGAGTTCATCTTACTTGGAGTTCAGTGGGCTTCTTTGATGTTTATATTCATGAATTTCATCAAATTTGGGAAGTTTTCAGCAACTTCTTCAAATATTCTCTCTGCCCCTTGCTCTCTCTCTTCTCCTTCTGAGACTCCCTCATGCGATGTTGGTCCACTTGATGGTGGCCCTCAGGTCCCTTAGGTTCTGTTTGCTTTTCTTCCATATTTTTTATTTCTTTTCCTCAAACCCAATAATTTCTGTTGACCTTTCTTCAAATTTACTGCTCCCTTCTTCCATCTTCTCATATCTGCCTTCAAATCTCGCCAGTGAATTTTTCATTTGGAGTTTTCAGCTGCAGAATTTCTTTTTGGTTTCTACTTAGGTTCTCTCTCTCTTTATTGATATTTCTACTTTGTTCACACATCATTTTCTTGACTTCCTCCACATCTCCTTCTAGTTCTTTGAGCATCTTTAAGATAATGTTGTAAAGTCTTTGTTTAGTAAGCCTGTCATCAGATCTTTTTTAGGGACAGTTTCTGTTAATTTATTACTTCCCTTTGAATGAGCCATACTTTCCTGTTTATTTATATGTCTTGTTATTTTTGTTGAATACTGGACATTTGTGTCTAATAATGTGTTAACTCTGGAAATCAGATTCCCCCCCTTCCCAAGGCTTTCTGTCTTTTGTTATTTTGTTTAATGCTCCTGCGCCAAAGATAAGCCTGAGATGTAAACTCAGGCTTTTTTTCTGAGCCTGCACCTTTCCCTGAGCATGCATGTTTATTTTCTAATTTTTCTTGTGATGCAGTTACTTGTGAATGTCCTAGTCTGTAGTGTCTGGCTACAGTGGAAAAAAAAGAAAAATGAAAAAGGGAGACAAATTAGGGCACTGGCCCTTACAAACCCTGGAAGTTACATC